CAAAATTTTGGCGCCGGAGCTTGCTTGGGTGCCGAGTTGAAATACCCGGACAGACGCGCGCACACATACACACACACACACACACACACCTGGGTCGTCACAGCATGCGTTTTCGCATTTGCATATATGTAAAAACGCATAATAAGCAGAGTCTCTGTAGTTGCCTTAATTTTTATGCGTTTTTGCATATATGTAAATTGCAAAAACGCATATTGGGAAGAGGCTGTGTGTGTCTGTATGTGTCTGTGTGCATGTGCGTGTGTGTCTGCGTGTCCGCACTTTTCGTCACCCACTTTCAACTCGAGAACCGGAAAAGCTAGAAGGCTGAAACTTTGGGAGTGTGTGCTCACACTATGCGTGACCCTCCTTTTTCAGTATCATCGTCCGTTTTTAGCTGGGTGCCATGTACGAACGTCTTAGATAAATATACAAATTTTTTTGGCGAGAAAGCGATCTTGAGAACTAGACAAGATAGGGGGCTGAAACTTTGCAAGGATATTCCTTGTGCATGTATGAGCTAAAGATTTCAAATTCTGCCTTCAAATATGCGTGAATCTCGCGTATGAGCACGTAAAAGATTTGGCGTGAAAATTGCCAAATCAGTAACCAAAAAAGCTAGAAAGCTGAAATTTCAGGGGAATGCTTCCTGTTCAAATACAACTTAAATATTTCAAATCCAGCTTTCGGGTATGCATGGTTCTCACGTATAGGCACTTAAAATTTTGGCGGGAAAATTCCCCACTGAATATCTAGGTTACTTTCAAAGAACGACCGTTAAATGGAAATTGCTCATTTGCTGTATGCAGAATTTATGGTGATTTACGCTATTGAGTGCAAAAGGTAGGTGTATAGCAACAACTATTCATGCAATAATGACCTGAGTACTTCAAGTCTGGTGCAAAAACGCATGATCGCACCGGCAAGCCTGGTCAGCCTGGGTTGTAATTTCGTCTATTTTGCTAACATCGGCTCGCCGAGGCAACTGCGCGGTTTGCCAATTCACCCGCAGATCATGTAGTAGGAAGCGATGA